AACACCCAGTGCTCCATGCAGAATGTGCCCTCCTCAATACCTACCACCAGGCCAGCCCATCCTCCCACCCCCCTCCCCTCTAGAACCCCCTGATCTGTAGGATTCTTCGATGCAAAAGATTCTTTGGACAAATTAGTTTGGAAGATTCCATTAGAGATTTATAAAACTTTTTAGTCTATTATTCTATAAAATTTTATAGTAAGGAATCTTAATTAATCATATTTGATCAAATGAATCCTAAAGTTAATTGGCCCTAGAAAGTATTCCCCCCCCTTTTGACATATTGACTTTTGGAATTGCTGATCTAAATCAACACAGTGTCCCACTTGGAAAAGAATTAAGGTAACAATAAGGTAATATCTTTTTTTTTTAAATTGTTTAAAATAAAGCCTCAATGAAAAGGAAAGACATATTTGTTTTTGAGAATTTTGTAGGAATTAAAAATGGCTACACTGAAAGAAGAGACAAAAATATGCTAAAGAGAAAATTTGGTAAATAGCAGTTAAGATCTTAGAAATCCATAAAATAACAATAGCAAAAATTAAAAAGGAAAAATGGATACTTTAAAATAGTTTCAGATTTAGAAGAATAATATTGGGGAATTTTGAACAGAATGTAGTCAGATTTCTAAAAAGTATAATTATCAAACTTATTCTTTATAAAACCTATAAAAGATGGGATAACATAAACGTGAATATCCTGGTTATAGTTAAGGTAAGTGATGTAAAACCAGACGTTTGAAGTTAATCAAGAGAGATTAGGGACATTAAATTGAGAGATATAAGTCTGTGAAATTTATAATTAACCACAATGTGGAGGGATAGTTTTTAACAGCTGCTCTTTAAAAAATCCTGTTTTTAGCTACATAAAATTTTACCAACATGGCTGTAGTGCTTTGAACTTTCATCATATATTTATGCTTTGCTTTAAAGCTTATGAAGAGCAAATATGAAAGTTTGTCATAGATAGGGGATGTATTATAACTCCCAAATGAAAAAAAAAAATGTGTATTTGAATTCCCAAGCCTCTATATACCTATCCACAGAAACACTGTTCTATTTTTAAACCTCATTCTTGGAAACACTGCAGATGTCAGATCAATTTAGAAGCCAAAGAATACCTCTGGGGATGACATGGCAGCAACTGAAATAGTGTTTGGCCAAATTAAGAATGTATGCCAAAGATGCCAAAAATCACAGTAACCTGGCAGGTAGATAGCTATTATTTAACTGTATGATCATTACTGGTTTCTCTACTGAAAAACTACCGGCTGTTTATGCAGTGAAATGGAGCCCATGATTTAGGCAGAGTATCTCTCTGTTTTGATGTCAATAGTAGCTAGTTGGGGATTATACCCAATCACAAAATAGAATTTCTCAAGGAAAGTACTTGGGAAGGAAAAAAAAAATCTTTTAACAAATTATATTATAACTCACTTAGAAATAGAAATGGAACAATATCAATTCAGAAATTATTTTCGCTATATAATCTTAATATTCAGAATGCTATTCATATTCTGTGCTACTTATATATTTCTTTCTGGCACAAACAGATTGGCCTGATCTCAGTTTGCTGCAGAACATTTCAATTTTAAATTTTTATTCTGTAAGACAACTAATAAGATAATTATTTTTAAATAACTTTCTCTATATGTTCATGATTCCTGGATCTCTGCTCCCTCATCTGCATACTGGTCTTACGGTATTGATCTCATGCTGTTTGGAAAGAACTTAACTTTCATAATTTTTAAAATCCCAAATTGGACAAAATTGCTTAAGTGCCTCAAAATGCAACATGTGTTCTTACATTTAAGAGAGTTGATGATATTTATAAATAGCTTCTTTCTCTGGATCCACATTATTGTCCTCCTAATGGATAATGCTTAATGATAACATTGTTTTAAAGTGGGAATATCTGCTATTTTCAAAATGCTGGAATTTTTCTATTTCATCATTAAAGGAAGAAATTGATAGTAAAGACTACTTCAAAATTATAAATGTATATCCTCAAAAAGTCTTATTAGGAAATTAATTTCATTTCTGTAAGCCTCAAATGTAATCATATAGTCCCATTAATGACCCATGTGTAGTGGAAAGAACATTAAATTTGACCTGTGTATGTGTCCTGCCTCTTCCAGGGAGAGTGTATTTGATCACATCACTTCTCCTAAATGTACTTCTTTGGTTAATGACATGAGTGTAATAATACCTAACCATGCAATAGTGTTGTTTGTAAAGAAATGCAAAGAATTATTACTATTAACATCATTGTCATTTTCATCATTACCCATTTACATCATTATGGTTATTATCAAATTTAATGGAGTCCATGAAAGATTTCAGAACTTCCACATACACAGTTACAAATCTGAACCCAGTATTTATGGGTAAAAGGCAAAATTTAGAATTTAATATACAATCAAATAACAAACATAATTTTGACTATTTTTTATCTTTTCTATACTTGTACCTGTCAAAATTTCTAAATTGCTGTATTGGACAAATACTAGAAGATACAGAAAGTATAAATTGGAAAATGCAAATGTTTAATTCAGGTAAAAGAAATTACTAGGTGCTTCTCAGCTGTTTCATGTCCAAGTTGAAATCACAGAAAAGGCTTTGGGCAATCACAAATAAATAGATGCTACATTTATGTGCAAATTTAACCTCCCACATAATGTTCTAAGTGATGTGGTTGTATCGGTTTTAGAAACTGACAAAGAAATTACATTTGCTAGGGTTCCTATAAAAGAGTGACACAAAATAAATTATAATATAACATAAAAATTAGTTTTGATATGCAAAACTTTATGCCCTTTATGTCATGTATGCTGGACAATGATAATCTAATGGAAAGTTAGATTAATTAAATAATCCAGAAATTCTTTAATCAAATACGCAAATTCAAGTGTTCTTGACAGATTGAATAATCAGCACTGTTGAGAGCAAACCTCCATATCTAAGAAGCAAAACAAAGAAAAAACACGCACATCTGGGCAAATAAATCTGTCTGAATCCTTTATCATTCTTTATCAGTTTAGTTTTTGTATTGTATCTTTTCTGAGTTGTGCACTGGTTTTGTGTGTTTTTGTATAACCATAAGAACACATAACATGCTAAAATATAAATAACTGAGCTTGAATAGACTATCAATAGTGTAATCATTCATTTATCCATCCATCCACTGAGGAAACAAAGATATCTGAGTATCTATTTTTAATTGGCATTGTAAATACAAAACTAAATGTCACCGCTTGGCTAGCTTAAAAATAATGATTAAAGTCTAGTATGATAAGTAGTGCTACACACACGCACGCACACACATGCACACTCAGCATATATAGTGTTGGACAAAGAAAAGTGTAATTTCAAATTTGCCACATAGAACAAGGAAAAACCACTTGAACTAGATTTCGAAGCCTACCAGGGATTTTTAAGTACATAAGACTGAATTGTTTACTTCGGGAGAGAGAAAAATCATGTGCAGTGGCAGAGAGGAGTAGCATGAGTTGAGT